CCACTCACCGGCCGACTCCTTCTCCAGCATGGGCTCCCCTGTCAATGCGCAGGTAAGGCTGGCTCCGCGCCACCGCGGGAACGGGGATTCGGGGTCACCGGGGAGGAGACACCGGACGGGAAGCGCAGTAAGATGAGTCGGGGACTCCTCTTGAGTCGGGGACTCCTTTTGGGCCGGGAGGGAGGCTGCCCCGGCTGGAGCAGCCCTATTTTGGGAGCCCTAGACTTGTTGGGAGCGCACACGCGCTTGTCAAAGTTAGAATTGGTTCTCCTTTCCCGCGGCAGGCTCTTTCTGATCCGCCCCCGGCCCGCGCTCTCTGACTGGTCTCTGGTACCAGTTGGAGCAAACCTGTCCCAAGCAAAGACTGGCTAACTAGAGCCTGACTCCTCCAGGGAGGCGGCAAAAAGCGGCAACCCCCCGTCCGCTCCCAGCCTGAAGCAGCGACTGGGAAGAAGGGCGCAGCAGGCGGGTGTGTAAGGCAGTTTCATTGATAAATAGCGAGTTCATTCAGGAGACTCCGGAGCGGCGCTTGCGTCAGTGCAGACGTCAGGGATATTTATAACAAACCCCCTTTCAAGCCAGTGATGCTAAAGGGATAACGGGAACGCAGCAGCGGGATGTAGGAGAAAGGCACTGCGCTGCGCCCCGGAATTCTTGGCGGAAAGGGGAAGACCTTTCATCCAGGATGAGGGGAATATAAGAAGACATGAGCAGTCCCCGGCAGGACCATGTCTCCTCCCTCTCTCTCCCTGCTGCATGCGGCACTGGGAAACTCACCTCACCTGCGTCCCGAATCTGCTCACTCACGTCAGCTTCTCCTTCCTGTTTTGTTCTAGGACTTTTGCACGGATCTGGCGTCCTCCAGTGCCAACTTCATCCCAACTGTGACTGCCATCTCGACCAGCCCGGACCTGCAGTGGCTGGTGCAGCCCACCCTAGTCTCCTCAGTGGCCCCATCCCAGACCAGAGGCCCCCACCCCTACGGGGTCCCCGCCCCCTCGGCGGGGGCTTACTCCAGGGCTGGAGTCATGAAGACCATGACAGGAGGCAGAGCTCAGAGCATTGGCAGGAGGGGCAAGGTGGAACAGGTGAGTCCTTCCGCACCTTCTCTGTGTTTTAGGGGTAGGGAGTGGGGGGAGGGCTCCGCGCTGGTGTAGATGGAGAGCACAGTGGGTAGGGGGAAGTCAATGAAGGAACTTCACATTGTGACTACACATCCTGAACCGGGAACTCTGGCTCCAAGCCCACTCCATCTGGAGTCAGGCTCTTGATAGTCACACCCCCAGGGGTACCCTAACAGTTCCTTCCCTAAGGGGTCCCTGTCTCATGCTTTTACACTGGGCTCTTCTTCATTCTCTTGCTGAGCATCTTATTTGAAATGCAAGTCACAGCCAGCCTGAAGCCGCAGGTTAGAAAGACTTGGCTACGCAGACAGAGGTGTCAGGAAGCTGGGAAGTGGCAGGAGCCAGTTCCACTGGGGCAGGTGAATGGAGCTCATGGCAGACGCTGTTACTGACTGCTGGTCTTTTTTCCTTCCAGTTGTCCCCAGAAGAAGAAGAGAAAAGGCGAATCCGAAGGGAAAGGAATAAGATGGCTGCGGCCAAATGCCGGAATCGGAGGAGGGAGCTGACTGACACACTCCAAGCGGTAGGTAGATTTCATGGGCTGCTCCTTGTCAAAACTTAAGGGGAAAGTTGGAGAACTGGACATCAAGGAGCGGTGTCCTTGAGCAAGACCGTGTCTCACACGTTGCTTTATCCCGCTGTGTACAGGAGACAGACCAACTAGAAGACGAGAAGTCTGCCTTGCAGACTGAGATTGCCAACCTGCTGAAGGAGAAGGAAAAACTGGAGTTCATCCTGGCAGCTCACCGACCTGCCTGCAAGATGCCCGATGGCCTGGGCTTCCCAGAAGAGATGTCTGTGGCTTCCCTTGATCTGAGTGGAGGCCTGCCTGAGGCTGCCACCTCTGAGTGCGAGGAGGCCTTCGCCTTGCCCCTCCTCAACGACCCTGAGCCCAAGCCTGCAGCGGAGCCCATCAAAAACATGCGCGGCGTGGAGCTGAAGGCTGAGCCCTTTGATGACTTCCTGTTCCCAGCATCGTCCAGGCCCAGCGGCTCTGAGACCTCCCGCTCTGTGCCAGACATGGACATGTCTGGTTCCTTCTATGCAGCAGACTGGGAGCCCCTGCACGGTGGCTCCCTGGGGCTGGGGCCCATGGCCACAGAGCTGGAGCCCCTGTGCACCCCGGTGGTCACCTGTACTCCCAGCTGCACTACTTATACGTCTTCCTTTGTCTTCACCTACCCCGAGGCTGACTCCTTCCCCAGCTGTGCGGCTGCCCACCGTAAGGGCAGCAGCAGCAACGAGCCCTCCTCTGATTCGCTCAGCTCACCCACGCTGCTGGCCCTGTGAGCAGGCAAGGCGGGGAGGCAGCGGGCACACACCAGTGCCGCTGTCCTGAGCTGCTGCATTACAGAGAGGAGAAACACATCTTCCCTCGAGGGTTCCCGTAGACCTAGGGAGGACCTTTTCTGTGCGTGAAACACACCAGGCTGTGGGCCTCAGAGGACTTGAAAGCATCCACGGGTGGACTCAAGTCTTTACCTCTTTCGGAGATGTAGCAAAACGCATGGCGTGTGTATTGTTCCCAGTGACACATCTGAGAGCTGGTAGTTAGTAGCATGTGGAGCCAGGCCTGGGTCTGTGTCTCTTTTTCTCTTTCGTCTTCTCATAGCATTAACTAATCTATTGGGTTCGTTATTGGAATTAACCTGGTGCTGGATATTTTCAAATTGTATCTAGTGCAGCTGATTTTAACAATAACTACTGTGTTCCTGGCAATAGTGTGTTCTGATTAGCAATGACCAATATTAAACTAAGAAAAGATAGGACTTTATTTTCTAGTAGATAGAAGTTAAATAGCGATATCCATGTACTGTAGTTTTTCTTCAACATCAATGTTCATTGTAATGTTACTGATCATGCATTGTTGAGGTGGAATGATTGTTCTGACATTAACAGTTTTCCATGAAAACGTTTTATTGTGTTTTTAATTTATTTATTAAGATGGATTCTCAGATATTTATATTTTTATTTTATTTTTTTCTACCTTGAGGTCTTTTGACATGTGGAAAGTGAATTTGAATGAAAAATTTAAGCATCGTTTGCTTATTGTTCAAAGACATTGTCAATAAAAGCATTTAAGTCGAATGCGATCAGCCTCGTGCTCTTTTCATTTTGGAAGTTTGGTATAAGATTCTGAAAGTTATCGGAGACCAGTTTGTCAAGAAGGGTAGCTTCTGGAGGGGGACACACCCCTTTGTTTGATCTCTTATCAAAGAGGAGAAGGAAACTCTAGAGCTGTTGCTGGAATATGTTATAAATACCAGGAGTCTTCACAGTGCACTACTACGATTCTCTACCTATAGCTTCTGAGGGTGGGAATCTGCTCTGAGATAGCTTTTGTGAGTACATGTCTTCCTGCTTCTTTTTCTGTTTTGAAAGTCAAAGGGATGAATATTTAAATCTAGTTATGCTAATATTAAATTTAAATGTCTTGATCTTCAAGGAACCCTTTTAACAAATAAAATTCAGCTCTGCACAAACTACTTTGACTTTTTAATCCAACACCATCATGTGAAGGGTTACCTCCACTTTTAAGGTGAGCAAACTGAAGAATGGTTAGATTGAATGACTTTCTCAATGTCTCACTATTGGGATTGGAATCATCCTCACTCATTATCCTATCGACCAGGCTGAACTACCGCCGGACACTTGATTTCAGAGAGAGGAAGGGAGAGGGAGAGAGGGATAGAAACATCAATGATAGGAATCGCCTGCCTCTTGCATGCCCCCTACTGGGGATTGAGCCTGCAACTGGGGCATGAGCCCTGACTGGGAATGAAACTGTGACCTCCTGGTTCATGGGTCTACGCTCAACCGCTGAGACATACAGGTCGGGCTGAACTCTCTCTTAATACTTGGTTAAAAAAATGTTTTTTTCATTTGGTTAGAACCTCCCACCCCCTGCCCCGCTACCTTTTCCATCCTTAACTCTAACATACATTGATTTAGTTGGATTACTTTTCTTCTCAGAAAGAAAGGAGGTTGTTGCCCTACCCCTTAGTAATAAATCCATTGTGCTTTAAAAATTTCTTTAACATCATATGCCTGCCATTTAGTTTACACTGGGGGAAGAAAAGTTGGCTCTGAGTATTTGAAAGCGATCGCAAACTGTACAAATAATGGTCGATCATTTGGTAAATAAAAGTTACATAACAGCTTAATGAGAAGTCAGCATGACTGAATAAGCTTTACCCTAGAAGTTTATCATCTTAAAGAAGAACACGACCTTTGTCTGGGACACCTCTGGTAATGGGGCACTTACACGCACAGGCACAGCACAAAGAACGCAGGCGGTGCCCTTCCTCCACGGCGCTCAGGTGTCCTGTCGGCACCAGCTTGGAAGCCAGGGACCATGTTTGCACACATGCTGGGTGCAGAGCAGCTTCGGTGCCAGCCTTCTAATGCTTTGGCGATAATGAAAATCACTGGGTGGTTACGGGCGTCACACTCAGTCAAACTGAAAGTTTTAATTTAAAATGACAAGTCCATTGAGGTTGATGTTCTTACCTGTCATCTCCCTGCTTTTTACATAATAATTGGCATTTAAAAGCAACTTGCTTTAGGCTCCTAAGAGCACTGATATATCACACACCACTTGCATAGTATGTTTTCCTGTCTGGCAATAATAAAGACTCCCTGTTTGCTGCTCAGAGGGTAAATTTTCTGTAGCCTTTAAATATGACCTAAACTAAATACAGAATTGCTGTCTTATAACTGACACCCAGTTCTGAAATAACAAGGTGATATACCCTGTAAGGACACCAGCTGGCTCCCTCCCATGTACAATAATAACAACCCATGGAAGATTTCCCAGATGGATAAAGGAGGCTGGACCTCTAGCACCGGACACTGAACTGCTCCCGGGCACCTGACTAATGGCCCCTGTAAGCCTCATGCTGGCTATAAAGACAGACCATTGCTTTCCATTTGACAGCCTTGACCTCGGCCTGGACACAGACCCTTCCTCTAGTTACCATGGCCCAGCTGAGACCAGGCTGCTGCATCAACAAGACTGCACTGAAGGTCCAGGGAGAGCACCTGCACACAGGTAGTCTCTGTAACAGGCTTCTCAGAGGCCTATTGTAGGGTCCCCCATAGGGCTGACATTCCACCAAGCTCCCTGCCAACCCTCCTCACGGGATCAAGAGGAGAAAGGAATTCCCTCTCTTTCCAGCCAAAGGGCTCCTTCCAAGTCCTCCTTTCCCGACTCACGATTCAACAACTTCCATGGATGATAGACACTGGGAATGTCAACTTCCTTTTGGGAAAGACTCTGCTCCCTATCCACGAGATATGGCCTTCCACTGGTCTCAAGAATACAACTATCCCAGGGCACCATCGTTCAATGCTGGTACAGAATAAATAAATATATTATATTAGCAGGGACGGGAATAAGGATCGGAAGGGGTTGTTTCCTTATGGGGAGAAGGTCTAGTTTAGCTCACCAATGGATCCCCAGACTTGGCCCAGTGCCTGCAACAAAGTACAGGATTAATGAGTATTTGCCAGGTGGAGGAATGAATAAATTCTTCACTATTTCCACAAACAAATATATTCCTCAGATAGTCTCTAAATTCTCCTATTCCAGGCCCTATTATGATTCTAAGCTTTGGGGATTCCACATCTTTTATGTCTGGCTTCAGACACACACCCCACTTCTCTCTTGGCTCCTGGAATTCCTTAACGGCCTCCCCTGGGTTACCTCTGCCAGTTCACCTTCAAAGGGAATGCACAGCCATAGTGCTTCCAGCTCCAAATTAATTTTAGATGGGAACAGGATAGAAGAAACAAAATATTTATCTCTATAGCATAGTGGATAGTAGAGTTTACATCGTCTTTGCATATCTCTGCATCTTATGTAATTATCAAAATTAAAGGGTAGCGTTTAACAATTTGTTTTAATAACAGTAATTTTGAATCAACAGCAACTTTCCATGTGTGAATGAAAATAAAGCAACTAGGCTATCTTTAGTAGATAAAGAAGAGACAGAGGCAAAGGAAAAGTTTTCAGATGATTACTCTAAAGAAACCATCTGAAGTTTCAATGTATTTCAAACAAAAATAAATCTAAAACAAAACCAAAAAAAATCAATCCTTAACTGTTTGAGACTTCCCCCAAACACAGAATAATCAACTTCCTCAAAACACAAAGGTGATATAAACATCACGTGACTGTAAATATCAGAGCACTTTAAGCTGTGCAGTTTTGCCATAAATATTAAGGAGCCGATTCTTTTTTTTTTTTTTTTTTTTTAAGATATTTTCATTGATTTCAGAGAGGAAGGGAGAGGAAGAGAGATACAGAAACATCAATGAGAGAGAAAATCATTGTCGGCTGCCTCCTGCACACCCTACACTGGGGTTCAAGTTTCAAGCCCGCAAGCCTGGGCATGTGCCCTGACCAGGAATTGAACCATGACCTCCTGGTTCACAGGTCAATGCTCAACTACTGAGCCACGCCAGCTGGGCAAGAAGCCAATTCTTGACTCCTCTCTAACTCCATCTCCTGCCCTTCTCCCTTACAGGTACTCTGCTCACGGCTATCCTTCCATTCCTGACACAGAGTGTTTCTGTTGCAGGGCCTTTGGACGGGCTGTCCCTCTGCCTGGGCCTCTTTTCCGGGGGTTAGCTCCTTTCTATCACTCAGGACTCAGCTCAAAGGACATCCCTTCCAAGAGGGCTACCCGAGTCACTCTATCTAGAGTAACTTCCCAGGTCATCCATCCAGAGTAACTTTAGCACACATAGTGGCCATCAGCTCTTCTGAATTAATAAGCCTTTTTTTTTTAAAACTTTCAGCTCACACCGACATGGCGCTTGGGTGTGGTTCCATCAGTTGATTTGGATAAGAACGCAGAGGGACTTGATCATTGGTTACTTTGGAAGCAGGCCCCCAGGAAGGGAGCCTGTTTAAGGATATGGAGCAAATTTTAAATGAAGAATGGATGTGTATTTAAATATGGGTATGTTCATCTTCAACAAACAAACAAAACTATGTTTTTCACTCTTATTGATATAAAATTTTCAGACTACCACACTCATTTGAGTTCACTGACTCTTAGCAACTGGGTGTGTGAAATTATGAAACTTACAATATAGTGTGCGGGACAATAGAACAATAAGGGTTAGCTGCTATCACTATCGGTATCAATATCAATGTCATTACTACCATAATCATCATTTACCAAGAATATGCCCAGACCTGAAGAAAAGCAGCTGGGAATAAGGTGTATTGACTCCTGATGAGTGAGTTCAAAGTCCCCCAGGGCTGCTGGCTGGATAGATTTCCACGTCCTTTGCACAAAGGAGAAAGCCCCAGAAGCTTAGTTGCAATGCAAGTCATTTCAATGGTTCCCCACACCCACTCATGGACTAAACTAAGCTGCCTCTCCTGTGCCCAGGAAGCATTGTTCAGCTGCCCAAGAGTACAAAGGGCAGAAAGGGCTCTGACCATTGTTCCAAGGAGGCTGCCTGGCCCAGTGGCCATCAGCGCTTCTGAATTAATAAGGCTTTTTTAAAAAACTTTCAGCTCACACGACGTGGTGCTTGGGTGTGGTTCCATCAGTTGATTCGGATAAGAACGCAGAGGGGCTGGATCATTGGTTACATTGGAAGCAGGCCCCCAGGAAGGGAGCCTGTTTAAGGATATGGAGCAAAAGGCCCCACCTTGATCATAAGGGTAGATGGTGCAGGCCTCAGTTGCTGCCATATTTACACTGGGGAGCAAGCAATTTGTGGTCAGAACTACAGAAGCAATGATTCCTCCTCAGTCTTTTTAGTCAATCATGAAACTGTCATCACAGCTAAACTTATCAAAACAAGATGAGTAGTTAACCTGGATTTGAGGAATTGGATCCAATATAGCATAGACTCAGCTTGGCATCTTGGCTCCTGGATGGGCCACCTTAGTTTCCCCATCTGTAAAGGGATCATAATTGTACCTAGCTCTTGGGGTTGTTGTGAGCATTAAAGAAGCTAGTATGTATAGAGCGCTAAATTACAGTGCCTGGGCACACAAAAGCATGATACAAGTGTTAGCTATTATGTATTATCTTTATAATTTAGGGAGGTGTGGGTTTCAGGGGAGAAAATATATACCCTCTGGAGCAAGCATGGGCTTCATTTCATTCAATAAAAATTTCTGGGTGTCTACTATACGTCAGGTGCTGAATTCAGATGCGAGGAAGGCACAGCCCTGTCCTCAAAGAGTTCATGGTCTATGAGGGAGAAAGTCACATAAACACATCCATTATAATCTACTGTAACAATGAAAATTAACACGAGGTGCAGGTTTTGCACGAAGGAGGGAGTGGATGAACTCTAGGGAGCCTCTGAGAAGGGACCTCTGAGCTGGGCTTCAAAGGTGAATGGAGTTCCCTAGAATGAGCAAGTGAGAGTTGGAGGGGTTCCAGGGAGCAGAGGGAAAGCACTGTAAAGACACAGACTCGTAAAACAATGCACTTGGTTTTGCTGGACTATAAACTGTGGGAGTGGGGGAGGAGACGGTGGGAGATGTAAATTAAAGAGCACCCCGTACGTACATCTGATTTCATTTGCATCAATATTGCAGCATCAAAGTGGAGGGGGCTGGAGATAGGTCAAGAAGAGATAGCTGTGGCCAGAGCATGAAAAGCCTGGTATTTACTTAGTTCAGTTGTGTGTAGGCTGAACCAAGGCAGTGGTGGTGGGAATGTAGAGGGAACAAGAGGTAATTAGGGGGTAGCACTGTCTGGACTTGGTGATTGAGTAGATGTGGGAGGTGAGGGTGAGGGAGGAATTCAAGCTCACTCCCAGGTTTACCATGCTTGACACACAAGGAGGCTGTGGTTTCACCAATGACTTTGTGACTGTAGGAAGAAGAGCAGGTTTGGGAGATAAGACGGTAAGTTCTGGGTTGGACATGTTGAGTTAGCGATACCTATGCAATTTCTCAGGGGGTGGGGGGGGGGTGGGTAGGGGATGTAGGCAGTTGGAATTACATAAAGAGGTTCTATGATGTGAATTTATGGAGTTTGCCTGGAGGCATGTGATTGGAATAGAACCTGGAGCCCTAGAATATAATATTGATAATGGCTAACATTTTACATGTGTGCTTGCTCTGTGCCAGACTGAGCTATGCACTTCACAGGCAATGCTAAAGCAGGGACCACAGTCTCTGCTAAGCATTTCACTTCTGGCAACTGGCACATAATGGGTGTGCAATACTTTTTGTTGAATGGATGCTCTCCTTTAGTCCTCACAACAATCCTGTGAGGCAGATATTATGAGGATCCTCATTTTATAGATAGGAAAATGATCTAGGAAAGGTTAAATAAGTTAACCAACGTCACACCATTGATAAATAGAAGATCTGAGGTTTGAAGTCAGCTCTTTGCGACTCTAAAGTCCAAAGTGCTTAACTGCTCTGCTAGAATGTTCAAATCTGCCCCTAAATATGTATTTATGTGACCTAGGGTAAGACTCTAAGCCAGCCGTGGGCAAACTACGGCCCGCAGGCCAGATGATCCGGCCCGTTTGAAATGAATAAAACTAAAAAAAAAAAAAGACCGTACCCCTTTATGTAATGATGTTTACTTTGAATTTATATTCGTTCACACAAACACTCCATCCATGCTTTTGTTCTGGCCCTCCGGTCCAGTTTAAGAACCCATTGTGGCCTTCGAGTCAAAAAGTTTGCTCACCCCTGCTCTAAGCCCTCTGAGACAGTTTACTCGGTCTACCAAGTCAGGATGGGGCCCGGCTGGTGTGGCTCAGTGGTTGAGGGTCAATCTATGAACCAGGAGGTCAGAGTTCAATTCCTGGTAAGGGCACATGCCCAGGTTGCAGGCTCGATCCCCAGTGTGGGGTGTACAGGGGGCAGCCAATCAATGATTCTCATCATTGATGTTTCTATGTCTCTCTCCCTCTCCCTTCCTCTTTGAAATCAATAAAAATATATTTTTAAAAAATCAGGAGTATGTTTCAAAAATCTCAAAACTCCCTTTCCAGCTTTCAAACTCTGACAATATCTAATGACTTGTGAGGAAAGACACTGAAGGACCCATAGCGCATCACTTAGGGTGGCAGGCCTGAGCCGTGTATGGGGTGCTGCAGTGGTATGCCAAGTGCCAGGAGGCAGGAGCCCGTCTGTCCCAGGTGTAGGCAAAGAGGGTGGATTTGCGTTGTATTTCTGTGTAACAGATTACCACACGCTGGGCAGCTTCACTGTCTCACTGTCTCTGTGGGTCGATCCTCTGTTCAAGGCCTCACAAGGCTGCAATCAAGGTGCTAGCCAAACTGCGTTCTCAGCTAGATGCTTGAACAGGGTAGAGTCTGCTTCTGAGCTCATTCCGGTTGTTGACAGACTTTATTTCCTTGTATATCTAAGGGCCTGACTCTTTTATTTCTTAAAAAAAAATTTTGTTGTAATTCTCACCCAAGGATATTTTTTCTATTGGTTTTGAGAGTGGGAGGGAGGGAAGGTAGGAGAGAGGAAGATTGAAAGAGAGATAACTGGATGCCTCCCCAATGCGCCCCAACCAGGACCAGGGATGGAATCTGCAACCCAGGCACGTGCTCCTGACTGGAAATCGAACCCGAGACTCTCCGGTGCTCAGGTTGATGACTCAACCACTGAGCCACACAAAGGCATGGACACCAGGAGGCAGGAGTTATGGGGGTCGCCCTAGGGCTGGTCATCCACAAGGGGTCACAACACCTGCTGAGAATTTAAACGTAGTAGTAAAACACCATAAATTGGCAATTCTAGATGTTGTCAGTGACAAAATCCTTCTGAAAAAAATCTTGTTTTACGTTCTAAACAGTTGCTGGGATTACTGTTGAACTTTTTTTTTTTTTTTTTAATGTATATGTAAGCTTCATTTAAAAATTACTTACCATTTAAAGCAATGTATTCTACATGGAAGTAAACTCCCAGTTACACCAACAGCTGGTTCCCAACACACGGACTTTGCTATGTGCCTTCACTTTAAAGGTCTGTAATAGTTCGGAATCGCTGTGATCATTTTGAATGCAGTGTCTGACTCTGGTAGCACACAACACTGTGTTTAAACAGCAGATCTGAAGAGAAGGCAGCACAATGGCCTGAAAGACAAAGAAACGGAAGTTGAGGTCCTTAAGTTCTGTTAGTCTACATACCATTTGGAGTTTTTGTGTTTCAAAATTAAAACCACGAAGCAGTGCAAACTGAGACAAGCAATGTTTTTATTTGGTAAGAGCCCATTTCAGTTAACACGTGAAGTATTTTATGAAACCGTAATACTAACTTTAGAGTGGGAAGTTCTTTTCAAATTGTTCATTGTAAGACTAAAACATGTGCTAGACAGTTACACACACATCTATATTAATGCATTAACACCACGCTAGCAGGGAAGTCCTGCTATTCTCCTTGTTTTCTAGATAAACAAGTGTCGGGGCACAGGATTGCCATCTGCTCAAGATCATCCAACCAGAGTGGGGGGAGCTAGAGTTGACGTCCGGGCACCGTGGCTCCAAAGCCACTAGTTAGAAAAAAACAAAGCCAAACCAATATCCCCAACAATCTTGGAGGCCAACGGAAGCTCTTCGAAAACAAAACAAAACAAACACAAAAACACAAAACAAAAACCAGGCAGGCTTTCCATCCAGGAGCGCTCCTTTCTATTCCCGACCTGCCGCTGCTGGCTCCAGGGTTGCAACAGGTCGCGCTGACTCCCAGGGGCCTCCCGGAAGGGGCGCTAGGCCCAGGTTCCGCCCGGCCCTCCCCAGCTTCTGACCCTTTGCTCCAGGGCAGGTCGTCCGGTCAGGCCGCGTCAGGAGCGCCCGAATCCTCTGTTTACTGTTTGGTTTCCATGGTGACACGTAGGCGCCGTCAGCGCCGCCCGTCACCAGCCCCGCCGCGCGGCCCGCACCCGGCGCCGTGACGTCTGCCCGCCGCTTCCGCTCTGCCCTTATTTGGCGCCGCCACCGCGCCGCCCAACGGGTGGAGGCTGGGAACCGACTCCCGCCCCGCCCCGCCCCGCCCCGTCCGGGACACGCCCCCGTGGAGGGCTGACCTTGGCTCCGTGCCACGTGCCCCTCGCCCTCCCGAGGACCCCGGGGTCGCCGAGGGACCGGGAGGGGACGCGGGCGGCGGGGGGATGACGCTGAGGTCTCCACCGGCCCTTGACCTGGGAGGCCGCAGTCAGGGGTTGGGACTGTCTCGAATGATCCCGGTGAGTGAGCCGGGGTCACGGTGTTCACCCTCGGTGGCCAGCAATCATGGGAACAGCCACCCCTGCGCCTAACTCCGTTTCCTGTTTTATCGGCTTGAACTTCAGATTCTCGCCCTCGGCGCAGTGGAAAGCTTTGCAGAGCGAGGTTTGGGGGTCACTGTTGCCCCTGGGGGGGATGAGTGACCTTGGGAAGGTTGTTTCCCTTCCCCCGGCGTGGGAAATGGATGGGGGGGTGGGGGGGAGCGGGCAGGGCGGTCAGACTTGTCCCGGGAGATCGTCTGTCGCCTTCTAACCCCCGCCCCCCCCCACCCCCCCCCCCGGACATAATGGAATGTCAGTGCAGTTCGCTGAGGACCCCTACAATTGTGACCCATAGTAACTGGATTTGTGTGTCTCTTTGCGGCTTGCCCATATTAGGCGCTTAATTAATTTTAGTTAACTGATCATTGAGTTAACCACAGGCAAATTACCTTCGGATTTCATCTCCATAAATCCGGACCCCGCAATTCCTTTGACAGGCGGAAGGAGGACTATGGCGATGATTAATAATCGTGCCGCAAGGTTGCTGATGTAAAGAGATTTGCAGGGATAAAGGGCAATAAGCATTCCTGGGAGGAATCCGGCGAGATTCCAGAAGTGTCTGAGGGAGCCGTGGGCGTGTGCCGCGGGCCTGAGGGGGTGGGGGTGAGGCGGGAAGTGTCGCAGCGGCCACTGCGGGAGCCGCCCCCCCCCACCCTCCCTCTGGGGAGCCCGCTTTGGGGGTGGGGGGGGTTGGGGTTAACCCTTCAAGCCGCTCAGTCGTGTGCCCCTCCTTCCCTCACACCCTCACTTCTTCTGGCCAAAGGAATGTGTGTTTTTCAGAAGTTCAGAGGTTATTCTCTAGTTCAGCCTTTCTGTTTCACACATGCGGAGACTAAGGGTCAGAGAAGTTGGTTCACCCATCCAAACACGCACAGCACAGCTGAAAAGACAGATAAAAGCCAGGAGTATTTGTTTATTTACTTATTAAAGCCGGGGACAGTGAAACTAGGTAGGGCTTAGGGTAGAAGAAGCAGCAGGAGAGAGCCTGGATGGGGCTGCTTTGGCTCTAGAAATGGTATAAGGAAAGAAATTAGCTTTGGTGGGACCGCTGTCAGCTCACTGGAGAGTCAGAGAAAAGGGAGCTGGGAGACAGATTCAGGGCTTAGCCCAGGACAGCTCCCACTGTCCATTGCTCCCCTGGTTGCAAATCTTCACGGGGGCCTTAGAATTTAGGAGATACTTGCCCGAGGGGGGCGGGGAGGGGGGGCGAGCAGAGGGGGGAAGGCAAAGGCATGGGCGTGCTTTCTGGAGGGAGAGCGCAAGGAAAGCCAGGATCTCCGACTTCAAACTAGTGCCCCTTCCACCTCACCTAGGTGCTCTTTAACTCCGGTTTCTCTGGCTTCAGGACCCTACTGCCTGGCTGAGCTGGTGGGGCGTATAGTAAAAATCAGTACTGACTTCAGGGCTCCTTTAGGCACCTTTGCTGCCCTACACAGCCCACAGCATAACACCAGGACGTGGGGCGATGGCCAGGAGGTGTATACCCCCAAAGCTGCAAGCATTCCTCCTTACAATGGCTGGAATGGCCACCTTTATCCAGAGACTCAGCTGTCCTGACATCAGTCTTCGCAGCAGCTGGTCGTTTTTCACAGTTACCCAAGTCTTGCACTAAGCTTTCCTCAGCCAAGACAGCAGCAGACGGCACGCGTCGTCCGAACCCATGGAAATCCCTTTTCTCATCTTTGGAAGGTTTGTTTTTTTAATGGTACATAATGGTTAGAGCCTTTGGGGGAATGCCTCTGTTGTCTCTGTCTTCCTTTTCGGTCGCACTCAACTTCCTCTTACAGTCTATATTCTATTTCTTGCCTAACTTTTAGGCTGAATATGAAGACACCTCAGACTTAGAGGACTGTCTGCTGCTGCCTCGGGCCATCCCAACTGGCTGATTTGACATGGTGTCTGGGATCCGCCACCTTCCTCTCTGATTCCAACTTAGAGCTAAAACAGCAGAAGCAGCAGCTCTGCCCCCTGGTGGACATGTGAGGCAGAGCGCCTCGAATTTCAGAAGCCGCATCTTGGCGGCGCAGGTTGGGGGAAAAGATTTTCTGTTTACTCTGTTGGAAACAGCAAAACTTGGCAGAAGATAATTTCTCTCTCTCTCTCTCTCATTTCTTATGATCTGGCCGATTTGGATGCAGAAAACACTTCTGTTTTTCCCCCTCCTTGTCTGGACTGCTTTTTTCCTGCCTGCTAGCCAAACCCTGCCTCCCCACACTCTCTTCAAATTCTATTTCAGATTCCACCTCCTTCATAACTTTCCTGACTCTCCTCTCCTATGTGTCTTTTGAAATACAGTTGTACACAGACCCAGCACACGGCTCCCTCTTATATGCTGTTTTTACTGTTGTTTCCTTGAAGCCTGCGGCCATGTCTTGTGTATCTTTTGTGTTCACAGTGCCCAGCACAGGGCTGGGGACAAAAACTGCTCTCAATAAGCTGATTAAGTGCTTAATTAATGGGTTAATTTCTACAGAAGCAGCTCTCAGCCCTGGCTTCAGTTAACCTTCCAGAACTCTAAGTTCTTTGGGGGAATCTAGATAGTGATCTAATAAAATAGAGCCTTGCATAATCAGGAGTTTCACAAAGCAGTTTCACAAGGGAACACCACCACCACCGCCACCCAGGGAGGAGTGAGGAAGTTTGAAGTGGCCTCTCAGAGGAAGGAGGAGGAAGGTGGCGACATGGGAGAGTCACAGGATGAAAAACTAGGAAAGGGAGCCTCTGCTCCAGGGATCAGAGAGGCAGCACAGGCTCTGGAGCCAGTTTGAGATCCAGATGCCACCACTCGCTGTGCGGCCTTGGGCAGGTTTCCTCTCTGTGCCTCAGTCTTCTCATCTGTAAGCACCAGTACCCATCTCATAGTGAGATGATGAGGAAAAATGGAGCTGATAATTTGCAAAGTGCCGGAATAGTGCCTGGCACATAGTAAGTGCTATATAACAGTTTGTAAATGAATTTTTCAGCTTAGCTGTCATGTAAATGGAATAGGGGGACATTATATGATCTCTCCGTTCTCTTCTGCACCGACCTCCCAGGGCAGTGCACGAGCTTTGGGGTCAGTCAGGTCTGGGTTGGCTCTTGTCTCTGTTAGCAGTTATGTGACCTTGGGCAGATCACTCTGCTTCTTGGAACCTCAATTTTCTTATCTGAGAAATGGGGATAATTGTGTCTCCCTAAAAAGACTGTCATGTGCATTACATTGCTTGTAAATGCCTGGTATAGAAGGAGCTTAATAAACAGAAGCTATAGCCAGATCGGCATGGCTCGGTGGTTGAGTGTCGACATATGAAACAGGAGGTCACGGTTTGATTCACACGCTCAGGTTGCAGGCTCGATCCCCAGTGTGGGGCGTGCAGGAGGCAGCCGATCAATGATTCTCATCGATGTTTCTATCTCTTTCTCCCTCTCCCTTTCTCTCTGAAATCAATAAAAATATATTTAAAAATAAACAGAAGCTATAGTTATTATCAGTGAGAAGAGCCACATATAAAGGAGAATAAGATCTTCAAAATCTTTCATGTTTCAAGAAAGATTGAACATATTGAATAGCAGTGAGACCAGCTCTAGTCACAGAGCTTTGGAGTAGGAGGGCAGGCCCTGGGTCTGGGCTTTGATGAGATATCATGGCATCTGAAGAAACCAGAAATGGTTTGACTTGCACATTAGTTCTAGGAACATTTTCTGCCCAAGGGCTGCACTGAGGGTGTGGACCCAGTGGGGCTGGTGCCAGCAGCTTTAGGCCCTTCCTGTTCTCCTTCCCAGGATGGGGGACTTTATCAGGAGAGGGTGTGGGCCTTAGAAGCCTGTTGTTGTTGTGTGTGTGTGTGTGTGTGTGTGTGTGTGTGTGTAAATGGCCCTGAGACATCCTTCCCTGGGCATTGGACTCCCAGGCCTTGTGTGGCCTCTTCCATAGCAGAACCTGCCTGCAATAGCTTCTCAGAGCTGCCATTCCCAGCCCTGATGAAGGGCACCCCAGCTTGATTGCCAGCGCTTATCCAATGGGTGAGGGGAAGGAGGGTATGGCAGTCTGAAAGCCAAATTAATTCCCTTCAGCAGCACATGTGGAAAAGTACTGAATGGAATATGCAAATGCCCTATGGAGTCCTTTGAGTTCTTTCTGAAGGGGAAGGAGGGTTGCAAAACCCAAGAACAAGGTGTTGCAATCCCAAGCATGTTGGGAGTCACTTTTATGGTCCTTCCACTTGACAGCTCTTGTCCCCTGTGACCCACGAGGAGTGGTTTGCTCCCCGCAGGTCAGGCTCTGCACTAAGTTGTTGACCAGGGATTCCAACACCTGGACTCACCTACCTGAGGACCTATTTGGGGGTCACAGAGGAATCTCGAACCCTCATTCCAAACACGTGTTTTCAGCACCTAGAACCGAACTCAAGGGTAGAATCATGGCTTAAAAAGAGTCATGAAGGTGCTGATATTGGTTGTCTCTGTGGAGGAGGGAATGTGTTTTTATTTTCTCTTTGTTTTACTTTCTGATTTTTTTTGGGACAAATGCATATTGCTTTTTTAATAAGAAAAAAAATACTTTTAAAATGTTCCCAGCAGAGTAGTAACAGCGTGCAGTCCCTGGTACCAATGGAAGGTAGCCGTGGCTCAACCAGTTTCTAGCTGTGTAATCTTGCAGAAACTGCTCTCTCTACTCAATCTCCTCAACTGCAGAACTGGAGTGATAGTAGTAATCCAATAAGACTGTTGTGAGGATTGGGTGAAAAATGTGTCAAGTGGTGTCTGACACAGCACGTGATAAGCCCTTAGTAAACGGCGCTTGTTTCTGATTTACAGATTGTCGTTTTCCAGGGAAGATGTCTTGAAATTGAGATCTGGTTGCCTGGGAAAGTTGGGGGGATACGTGGGGCAGGTTTAAATGGTGAATGGGAAAGACTCTCACTGGAGAGTGGCAGGAAGAAATGGACAAGTAACAAAGAAGGGGTTGATGGTGGGTAGGGTGAGGCAAGGTTAGCAAAGGAGAGAGTGGGCTGTGGGGGAGAATGGGAACTCAATGGACAGGGGCGAGATGTTCATGGGGGCCATTTGGAGCAGGGACCCCAGGAAACAGAGCATGTGCCAGTTGCTGTGTAACATCTGAGGTGGAGCTGTGTCCTCTGGTCCCTGGCCCTCTCCAGGCTGCGCTCTGCCTTCCTCTCAGCCTCACGTTGCATCACTCGATGCCAGTCTTCTTTCAGTTCCTTGAGGGCGCCATGTTTCTCCCCGTTGCCTGACCTTTGTCCATACTGTTTGCCCTGCCAGGAACTTCTACTCTTTTTCTGGCTAACTCCTAGTCAGCCTTCAGATCTCAAGCTTAAAGCTCAATTCTTTACAGAGGCCTTCCCTGACCGTTCGGTATAACCCAGCCCACTGCCTCCTGTTCCTCTCTCAGGCCCTCAGCACCCGGATATCAGTGCCAGGGTTGGTAGTTGTGTATGTCTGTGATTATGCACCCTTTGGTGTCCCTCCTGGGCTGAAAGCTCCAGGGCAGCAGGACCAGCACCTTTTAATTTGCTCACTATTGTGTCCTTGATGGCCAGCACGTAGTAGACACTCAATAAACATTTATTGAAATGGCAGAAGAATAAGCCACTTCATTTGTGACCTGTAAAATGCATTTGCACCTCTCCTCTGGCTTGCCTCCGTCTTGATTGATGCTGGCTGATTGGTTGAAGGAACAGGAGATTTGGGGACTGTGAGGGATGCCTCAGCCCGTTCCTCTCTCATCCCCCGTTTCTCCTGAGGAAGCAGGCTTCCCTTTCCAAACTAAAAACTTTAAATCAGTGTTTCTCAAACTATATATATATAAATTACTTGGGGGATATTCTTAACATGCGAATTCTGATTCTGGAGGTCTAGAGTATGGGCCAAGATTCTGCATCTCTAACAAGCACCTGGCGATTCCCATGCTGTTGGACCATTCTGAGAGCCAAGATGCTCACCTACAGGCCACTGTGATCCTCAAGCTTAAGGTTGAGTCGCTGTGCCCTCTGTCGGCCACTGAAGGGCATGACAACTGACCAAGTAGATAAAAGACAGCATGCATGAATGTTAGATTAAAACACACAATTCTTGGGGAACAAGATCTGCTAAAAGATTATGATAGCGTTAGAAAATGTACCTTTGACTCTGTAAGGGATCCCGGCCGTGTTGAGACAAGAGGAACTTGCGAAACTGGAGGATGTTAGGGTTGGGAGGAGCCTTTACACACACCTAGTCAGTAATTTCCTTGTTCTTTTGTGGCTGTTTGCCCTCCCTCCCTCTTTTTATATTTTATTTTATTCCCCCACCCCTTTTATTTTTTAAATAGCAGAGGGCTTCCTTCATTATAATTTCCATGGGCTGTAAGCACTTTGGCCTTTGTGTGCCCCTTCCTCTATAAAAATTATATTTTATTATTGCATTGGCATAAAGGCGATTATATTAAAATCTACATCATTTTTTTGACATAAAATATATAGGGTGTCCCAAAACTCATGCAAGATTTGCAATTGAATTGAATTGCAAATCTTGAGTGAATTTTGAGACACCCTATATTTTCTTGTAATTTAAAAAAGAAAACATGTCCATTGGTTCCTAAAAATACTGTGGGCTTTAGGCCCCTTGCCTCCTATATCAGCCCTGTTTTCCACGTGGTGGCCGGGTTATATCTCCCTGCACACGTCTAAGGCTGTCCTAGATGCCTCGAGGTCTGTATTGCTTTGAAAAAAAATGAAAAAAAAAACCATATATGTATGTATGTGTGTATATATATATCTATATATATATAACTATATATATATATCTATAATTGATTTCAGAGAGAGAGAAAGATAGAAACATCAATGATGAGAGAGAATCATTGATCGGCTGCCTCCTGCACACCCCTCACTGGGGATGGAGTCTGCAACCTGGCATGTGCCCTGACCGGGGATCGAACCATGACCTCCCGGTTCATAGGTTGAGGCTCAACCACCGAGCCATGCCGGCTGGGCCTGTATTGCTTTTTAAGCAAGAGACCAAGTTGAACATGTTGAATGACTTAGACATATAAGGTGCTGAGTGCTTACTCTGTGCCAAGTGCTTTAAACACATCTTTTAAGTTTCAGAACAGCCTTGTTCGGTAGGAATCACTACCATGTTATCCCCATGAGAAAATGAGAGTTGAGGGGACACCACTTTCCTCCCATCACAGGACTAATAGGTGGCAGATCCGAGATTTGAACCCAAAGGGTTCAGTCTGATCTCCTCCGAAGGCCATGTCCCTGATGTGACAGGGTATACAGTGAGATGCCTGCCTGGATATACGTCCCCAAATGCATGTGAGGGGAC